TCTTTCTATTTAATTAAATATATTTCCTTTCAATTTTCTTTTTTTCTCTTGTTTGTTGTGAAACATTTTTCATTTATCCTTCTTTATTCCATTATCATTATTTTACTTTTATCATCTTTATCATCTTTCTTTTTATTAATCAATATTGCAGTTACTTTATTATAACATTTTCTTAATACCTAGAAAAAAAGGTCAATTAATAGACGTATCCACAATTGGTTTTCTTTATATTGAGAAGTGATTATTTCAGTTTCTGCAATATGCTTTATTGGTGTCATAAAGTTAATTTCTAACATTATCTTATTAGATTGTTCTTCTTCTAATGTGCTACTAGAATTGAATGTGTAAAACATTAAGTCTTTCATATTTTTGATAATTATTGTTTGTAGGATTATGGAAAAGTGCAATTGTAATTTCAGTGCTTTTATTCTTCTTACTGACTCTTTATGTATTAATCTATTTATTGATAATATAACAGGTATTATTTCAACATATATTAATTCTCTATTATTTCTTATTTTCTATTGTAATTCTTTGTATTTATTTATTTATTTTATGAATATAACCAAATTCAATATTCTAATCATGGCAGAGAAAAAAATCTATAATATATAATTTCTTTTCGTTCATATTTTGATACATATTTTTAAACTTCAATAAATGAAATGAATGAATCTTCATCAAGAAAATAAATAAAAATTGTAAGAAACAACAAGAAATATTAAAAAAAGAATAAAGAAATAATAAAAGCAACAGAAGAAAAATAAGGAAAAAATAAGAAAAAAAAGTAAGAAAAAGAAATAAAAAAAGAAAAAAAAAAAAGAATCAGAATATTAAAAAAAGTACTTATGTATTTATGTACTTATGTATATCCCCTTTCGATATATTTTTCTTTTTCTACTTTATACCACCTCTTTACTTATACTTATTTATATCCTTTATATTCTTTTTACTTTTCTTCTTTTATATTTCTTATTTTATATTTCTTCTTTATACCCTTTACGTCCTTTATGACTTTATGACCTTTATGACTTTTGAAAAGCTTCCGTGGCTCAGTCGGCAGAGCGAACGGCTGTTAACCGTTAGGTCCTTGGTTCGATCCCAAGCGGAAGCGTCTTTTTTACTATTCCTTTTATCTATTTTACTACTCTTTTCCTTATA